GGGAACAACGAACCTGAAGATAGCTGCCCCCAACCACAGATTTCTCACCAATTGAACCGAAGTGCATTTGATGACTGGTCATAGCCTTGGTACCACCCACAATGCAATGCACCTCAACCAGAATGCAATGTCAGCATGCTCTCATCATCCCACATACATCTGCTGTCGCCACAACTCCCATGCTGTCGCAAAAGCCTTCGTGCCAGACTCCCCTCTACCCGGGAGTGGCTAAACAAGCCAGCGCCAATGTATCCTCACTGCATAGAAGCTTCGGCAGCGCACCAAGTAACAAAGTCGCCATCGCCGGTAACGGCGATATCAAACCAGCTCTGATACCAAATTGCAAGGAATATGAGCAAGAGCGATAGACAGAAATCCAAGTTGCAAAATCACGATGTAGCCCAGATAGTCATGTACCAAGCAGAGAACACAATGCACCAAGATTCCATCCAAATAAGAGCAAATACAATGAGCTCGCATGCCAATGTTGACGCTCTTTGGAAACACCAACACAGTATCCAATGTCGCTCCTACTGTATGGTGACCAGCGCCCAGCCTACACTACTCAACCTATCTACACCTATCTCGTTCATGCAACTGGATCACATTGAAGTCGAAGACCAATGTTCGTGACGTGGCCCTTTACAGTTGGGCACGTCCAGGCAGCCGTCCAGGCTCCAAGTGTTTGTCGCATTCTCATTGGCCCGTGGAGGTTGTGTGACGACAATGCTGCTTTCTCATTCCTCCGTGGCCAGTGTGTGATGTGTCGGCCTCCCAATGTGAGTGCCCAGGGTGCAACCAACCGGGGCCCTGGGGGCTCAACTGTGCAGCGCAGCTGTTCCTTCTGGAAAGAGCCAGCAAAGGCTCACGTTGCTTTGTAACCAACTGGCGTGCTGCAACTGTCTGATACCCCACATATGTAAAAATGTCGAACAGAGACCTCACGTGGATATTCAAGCCTGACTTCACTTAGGGCGGGCACAATGCTTCCTGGGGCCCAGAGCCCAGAACACTTGCATGTCTGTAAGGGTCCCGTGAGGGCTCAATCCTCGCACGTCCAATACTCATGGAGGTTAACAAGCTGTCTGTCTGGGTTCGATGCAGCCGTGATAATGATAGTGCATTGTGTTTGGGGCGAGATGGTAGTCGTTGGACTCGTTGGAAGTATATAAGATATGGACAAGCATTCAGCGCTATTCGCCAGGTGTACATGCAGGAAAGCAAGGAAAGGGGAATGCCTTCTAAAGTGGAACCTGTGCTCCTTTTCTCCCATGGTGTACACCGGCATCAGTGGATGACTCACCAATCCAGAGGCAAGGTCTCACTTGCCCAGATCCTTCTTCTGACCGTTGATTTTGCAGATCGACTGGCAGAAACGAAGAATCTCACTGTTTAGAACTTTGCTAAGGAAATTGTGGAGTGAGCCTGGGTGTCAGGTATTTCCTTCTTTGAGTTTTTTTTCAGGGACAAAGGTCCATAAATTTATAAGAATTGAACATGTCAAATCTCTGAGTCTCCTCTTATGGTTGAGTTTGGCATACGCAAAGTAGCCTGAAGTATGAGCGTCCAAAAACTGTTAACAAAGCGTCTACAGTGGTGAGCCTTCATAATAACCTCTAATTTGTGTCTCACCAAGGGCTCCCATCAGGTGTTCACTTCCTATAGTCAAGGACACAACGCTGTCGCCTGCAGCGAGAGTAGCATCACTAGCTTGACACTGACAGGCATGGGAAGAGTATGCAATGAACCTCACAATTCCAAACCAACTCGAACATGCAAGGTGAGAGCATTCACAGGAAGTTCACACCGCACCAGAGAGATGACACATGAGCCAGCGCCAGATATGTTCCCACTCAAAATATGAGAAGTTTACAATTGGAGAGTTCAAGTAACCAGCGGCTGTTCCGGCAATTCAACACTGCAATCCTGACTCAGGTATGTACTCAACTCCTCCTCCGTTGATGTCTGGCTTCCCTCTCTCTCTCTACCTGTCTCTTCTCTCTTCTCTTGCTCAAGTCTTCGTCCTCTTGACCTCACTGTGCTCAAGATCTCCCTCTCTCTCTCTCTCCCTTTAGGATCTGCCCTGAATACAACTGCGATGTATTCCCCGAACCTCCGCAGCTATGGCCGTCTCCTTCCTTCTCCCTAGCTTTGGTAACCAGATGTCTCCTTTCTCGCTGGGCACTTGCTCCTCTCCTTGTGCCCCCTCCCATCCACGTCGCACTGTCTCACAAGTAACCCACAGTACTTCTGCAATTTGCACATGAATAGTTGATCCTTCCTGCTGATGCTGCTGAGTTTTTATACTTGCTGATCCGCCTTCCAGACATCTTCCATTGGTTATGGGTCGGCCCTCTTGCCTTAGTTCCGTGCTTCTGGAAACTCACGGATTCTTCTTGGGTTTGGCTGCTTGCGTGGATCAACTGACACCTAGCCTAACGGCCCTGGTAATCCTGGCTGAAGTTGTGATGCCTCCTAAAGACAAACTTTTCAACCCATATGTTATGATCCTGGACAATTTTGAGGTACACATTCATCAGATAGTACTGCCGTCCAATTGCAGAAAGAAATGAATGAACTTGAGAGGAGAGAGAAGGTTAGAAGAAGAAGAAGAAGTAAGAAAGAAGAAGAAGATGATGTACACCAGCATGGACAAATGACAAAGCTCTTCTTCTTCGCCAAACTCTCTCTTCCTGCTTATCTCCTCCTCTATTATTCACACAAGAAATAATAATACAATGTTGAATGGCTGAACCAGAATCCCTCTTCTACTGCAGGTATCACTTGAGCTCCACCATAGCCATGGACGCTCCCTCACTCTTCACTCTCATAGGCCGAGGCTATGGCGGACTGCTTGGGCCTTGCCCTGCTGTGCAAAGGACAACGCAAAGCAGCTATGGCTGCTCTAGCTCAGGCCGCCATGCCTGACTCTGCCTCGAAGCTTCTTGGTGTAGCTCTCCCCAGCTGGGGTCTCCCTGCTGCAGCGCCCACCAAGGTGATGAAGATGGCTGCCACCATAG